AATTTGACAAGAGAAAATTTAATAGAAACAAGTAAAATAGTATACAACCACAAATTTGATTTACAGTAGGATGTAAATAATCCGGACGTCAAAAATCTGGACCGTCGAAAATCCGGATTCACTACCTTGACAATTTAAAATATATGCAGTAACAATGGACTAATGCGTGACGTGCGTGGCTTGTTATTGGACTTGCGCGGTTATATTTCTAATTAATTTCTTATTTATTATTTCTATCTGTCTTTTTGTTAAGGCGTCAAGTTCAAAGAAAAAATATACGTTTTTAAGTGATATAATTTCTTTTTGTAAAAAAATACAACCGACTTCAAACGCTCTAAAAAGAATGAAATAATGTCAATAAAGTAAACTTTTGTATTAGGCAAGCTCACGTATTTCAAGTCGGCGCGGCTCTATGATGATTTTTGATACAAAATTGAAAGAGGGTGTCCATATTGCAGGTGACTATCTATAAATAAAGGTGTTAATCTGCATGCCTTTTTCATAGTTATGCGTTAAGTGTTACTTTATTACTGTAATCAGAGATCGGCATTATAGTGGTATTAACGAGTATCTTTAAAAAGATTATAACGCATTTAAATGTTTCTAACTTGGAAAAGTAACGTTTTAATACTAAACTAGCTTCTTTTCCCTATCATAATATCAAACTAAATTATTTCCCTATTCATATAGAACATTTGTGTGTGTTATTTTCATAATGCATTTATTCTGAAGTAAACATAAAACACAAGAAAATATTTCCTTTAATATATAAACAAAACAGTTCAGTATGTTTTTTATATATTTATGTTATCCAGCTACAATTTATTGATTTTCAAAATACACACACAATATTTAATTTCAATCATATTTGCAGTTTGAGCCGCGCCGACTTGAAATACGTGAGCTTGCCTAATACAAAAGTTTACTTTATTGACATTATTTCATTCTTTTTAGAGCGTTTGAAGTCGGTTGTATTTTTTTACAAAAAGAAATTATTTCATGATTTTTAGTGACTGTATAATTTTTTATATATCAATTACTTGAGGTTTTTTGATAAGCAAAACTGTTTGAAACAATCAAAAGTTCCACAGAACAATAATTATTTTAAAACTGCTTGAGTCACCTGTTCAGGTTACATAATCATTGGTTATGAAAATAAACATTTTTAGATATTCCTTAAGAAAGAAAGAGTTTTCCATTACATTAGGCCTGATGAAAAACTAATTGTCTTTTCTAGATACATTGAAATGTCAGACATCATCGTTTCCTGCAATCGGTGTACTTCTACATTATAAAAAGAAATACAGTAACGTCTCAAGCCTTTTGGAACAATATGAAAGTTATTCCTCAGCTACCAGCACTAAACAATCTCTCAAAAGTGGAAAATTGGTCGTTAACACATATAGTACCTTTGGAAAATATTATATGAAAGATTGGTTCAGCTAAAAGTGGTATAAGTCATGTAGGGGGTTTTGTTTGCTCAAGATATAGCCTAGTCGAAATTGCAAATCATCTTCCTCTAGGACTTTCCGAAGCAGGCATAATAGTATTGATATGTTATAGGTTATAGTAACTGGGTAGAGAATATTAATAAACATTCCACATCTGCAAATGAAATATGTATATGAAAGATTGGTTTAGCTAAAAGTGGTGCAAGCCATGTATGTGGTTTTGTTTGATCAAGATATAGCCTAGTCGAAATTGCAAATCATCTCCCTCTAGGACTTTCCAAAGCAGGCATAATAGTATTGATATGTTATAGTAACTGGGTAGAGAATATCAATAAACATTCCACATCTAAAAATGCATGTTTAGTAATTAAAATATTTAACACTTTTAAGACAATTGACGATTATGCACTGTCACACTTCTTAGGTCGTGTAAGGAATAATAGCATTTAATTTATATTTAGACCTGTTTTACGAATGCTTTGGTTTTCACAATACACCTTTATTTGTCAATATCATACAGCTATTCACTGAAATATATATGTTTTTGTAAGTCAGAATATTCAATACTAAAAACAGAATTACTGTATACACAAATCAGGTCAAACGTTAAAATACATTTTTTATAGTAACCAAAACAAAAAGCATTTTTCCCAATGTAATTAATTTAGGCTCCATGGCAAGAAATAGTTTATTGATCAATATGAAGCAACTGTTTCATGAAGAATTGTCTGTAGCTTCATTTAAATGGTTTCAACTAACAGCTGTAGGAATGTTATTATTATTTATTGCCTTCTCTGCACAAATGTAAACAATCTGCACAAATGTAAACAAAATAAATGTTGAATATTTAAGGTTTTCAGAATTTTTCACCGAAACTAATATTATACTTAAACATAATATATAAGGTACCAAATAGGAACTCTCCTGGTTATTTTGGTGGTGGAACCACACTGATCGGTAAAAGAATCACAGAGAAATTGGTGAACATACATAGAAAAAAAAAAACATCGCCACAAACAAATTGAGAACCTCCTCCTTTTGTTGGTAGTGGGGAAGTCGGTTAAAAACTAAGTTAACAATTTTAACAGGCTATCAAAAAGTGAAAGTGGAGCGTCACTTGCAAAAATCTATGGAGTAGGAACATCCACTATAAGCGATATCAAAGCTAAGAGAGCTCAGCTCGAACAGTTCGCCTTAAAACTGGATTCAGAAGAGGGAACTTTAAAAAGAAAAACAGCACGATCAGCAAACAACAAGGCATTGGAAGATGCAATGTACATGTGGTTCACCCAAAGACGAAGCCTGGGAGAACTCAGGCCCACTAATCTGTGAAAAAGCTCTACAGTTCAATGAAAAGGTAAATGGGCCTTTTAAAGAGTTTAAAGCCAGTTCTGGTTGGCTAAAAAACTTTAAGTCCCGCCACGGTATTAGAGAGTTAGACATGCAAGGAGAAAAACTTTCATCAGATTTAGTGGCTGGTTGTGCATTTATTGAAAAACTAACCTGGAAAGAGCTTGGAATACATTATGGCCTGCAGAACAATGTACTACTGAAGAAAAAGATGTGAATGATAATGAAGGCGTTGGTGTTAATGAAGTGACAGAAATATTCAGCACGATCCCGGGATTCTAAAAGGCAATGTGATGACAATGACACCAGAGAGTGGTTAGCTCTTGATGACAACAATCCTGGGTACCAGGTGTTGTCGGACAAAGAAATTGCTGCTATGGTAGATGAAGACGATGCATTCTCCTTGATAATTATTTTGTGTTACAGTTTCAATAAAGTGCAGTACTAAACTAAGTACAGTTTTTTTTTGTATTTACCTACTGCTATTGTTTATATAGGTAAATTCTCAGAGTTTTGTTTACAGTTTTTTATATTTTTAAGGCATAAAAATAGTTAATGTATGAAAATCAGGATTTTTTAATCATCCGGATGGGGTTCGGTCGCAATTAATCCGGATTATCGACGTTCTACTGTAGTTCTTCGAAAAGGAGTCTTCCCTTATGATTACATCGATGTATTGCACAGATTTGACGGGATATCACTTCCTCCACCAGAAGCCTTTAGCAACAAGCTGAACAATAGATAAATATAACCGGAAGATTACCAACATGCATGCAGAGTTTGGAACGAACTTGATATGCAAACATTAGGGGACTACTCAGATCTTTATGTTAAACTCGACGTGACCCTGCTTTGTGATGTAATGGAGGAATTCAGAAACATCTGTTTGGGAGCATACGGATTAGACCCTCTTCATTCTTACACTCTCCAGGATTAGCTTGGCAGACGATGTTAAAAGAAACCAATTGCAAACTTCAACTTTTAACAGATATTGATATGGTACTAATGATGAGTCCGGTGTCAAAAGAGGATAGACTCAAAGCGTTGTAAGACATGTAAAAGCCAACAATAAAGATCTTCCAAACTACAACCAGCAAGAGCCATCAATTTATCTATCGTATTTTGATGCAAACAAATTGTATGGGTGGGAAATGATAACCAAGATAAAGAGACAATGATAAATTTAGGGTAATTTAATGTTGCTGGTTGGCAGCATTGAGCTGAAACTGTTGTTTTCTTTCTCCTATAACCTCAGTCTGCATATTGTATCTCTCTGAATAGTTGTGTCTAAGTTAGTGAGTTAAACGTATTTGTGAACATCAAAAATAAATAGTTGCGTCGTTGGTTAAGTTAATACTGTTAGTTTACTTATAGTTCAAATTTCCTAGAATCAGAGGATATCCTAAAGCCCAAGAAAGAAAGAAAGCTAGAAAGCCTAGAGAAAAAGGATCAAGCAAAATTATTACAAGCACACCAGAAAAACTACTATTAGAAGAAAGCCAAAAAAAGAAAGAAGAATTGAGATTGAAAGAAGAAAAGAAAAAATCTAGAATGAATCAAAAGACCAATAAATATAAAGAAATATTTTATTCATTGAATGATCAACCATATTTGATAACTAACACAATTAATATCATTATTGTTTTTACACTTATTAATCGCTAAATGCTCAAAATATGTATAATTTCACTCAATTTATCGCAGTTAGATGAATTAGCGTAAGCCTTGAAAGTAACCGTCGATTTTGACGGGTTTCACCTAGTTATAGGATACAAATAGTAAAAGCGTAACACAAGCCATGGAAATCGCTATAAAGAGAGATAAAAACAAAATTAACATTTACAAACTGATGAAGGCAAAGAATGCTTTAATAAAAGTTTTTCAGAGGTAATGCAAAAATATAACATAAACCACTACTCAACCAATTCTGAAAAAAATTCAACCAATTCATTATGCACTTAACCCTTTCGGTCCCAGCGTCCATGATCGTGGACACAGTATTTACATATTTTTCATTTATACTTTGATACTTTGAAAAAAGTTCGACCTCTCATTACTGCAGTCCTGCAGAGATGTAGAGAACTACCAAAGGAAAAGAGATTATGTGTTGACGAACAGATAATACCTTTCAAGGGCCACCACTCAGCCAGGATGTATAATCCGAAAAAGCCAACTCCTTGGGGATTGAAAATATTTATGATGTGTGGCGAAAGTGGTGTTGTGTATGATTTCGTCATTTATCAAGGAAAAAACACAGAGATTGACAAAGAAAACAAAGAGGTCTTCGGTTTAGGCGCATCAGTTGCGTTACATCTTGCTAACTCGGTACCACCTGGCTCTGAATTGTATTTTGACAACTTTTTTTCGTCCTATCACCTATTTCAAATGCTAACAAAAAAGTCAGCTTTTGCTGCTTCTACTGTTAGGGTAGACCGCTTCGTCAAACCTCCGTTTATGACAACTAAAGAGTTGAAAGATAGAGGCCATAGAGCTATGCAAGAAGTGACAAGTCAAGACAGAGCTGTCACTCTTGTGCGGTGGAATGATAACCAACCTGTAACATTGGCCTCTAACTTTGTTGGAATAGGAAAGACTGAGACTGTAATTCGGTGGGACAAAGACAGGAAAGCATTTGTCGAGGTTTCCAGGCCAGATGTTGTTGGTCTTTACAATAAGTCAATGGGAGGTGTCGACAAGATTGACTTCTTAGTAGTCATTTATAGGACCTTCATTCGCTCAAGGAAATGGCCACTGAGGATTATTTTTCATCTGATTGATTTAGCCATATGCAACAGTTGGCTGGAATACCGGAAGGATTGTGAAACCTGCAACGTCAGGAAAAATATGGTCATGGACTTGTTACAGTTCAGAATGAGTGTTGTGTACAGCCTTGGTCTAGTAGGAAGCACAAACTCTGCACGTAAAAGAGGTAGACCAAAACTACAAGACGAAGAAATGCCTTCAACTCCCCCGCCAGCTCCATCAGCAAGATGTGAATCCCGTCCCATCGCAGCCGTTCGACTGGACACTGTTGACAATTTTCCAATCCACAGTAATAAAAAAGAAGCTGGAAGGTGCAAAAAGCCACAGTGCAAGGGAAAATCTCACATCCGTTGTGATAAATGTGAAGTGTATCTGTGCCTTTCCAAAGACCGTAACTGTTTCCGATCTTTTCACATGACATAACTTAAGAATTCTCGTTGATGAGAAAATATGACTCAAAATCTAATAAAAGGCTCAGTTTGAGGTAAACGTGTGTAAATATATATATAAGGTTTTTGTGTTATTAAATTGTTTTTAGTACTTTTCAACATGTATTTTATTTTTCACCTTTGAGTACGTTTGTCCATGATCATGGACATTACAAAATTCCTTTGAGTAAATTTGTCCATGATCATGGACATCATACATATATATGTATTTATATATGAAACAAATAAAAAATAGTATTTATTCTTTATTTAGACCTATTTTAAGTAAATTAGATTGTAAAAGGATTTTTTCCTAGATTTTTAATAACTTGGGACCGAAAGGGTAAAAAAAAAAACATAAACTATATATTCAATGTTTCAACCGATAGTTTGATTTTCTAAGTTTTGGCCTAATGTTTGCTGGGTAACTTTTATATTTTTCAACCCATAGTGTTGGTATTTGGCACTCTTATTCGTAGATACATATTGTACAAACTGTAGCATGTCGTCTATAAAAAATATTTATGACATTTTGTTTAATTTTTTTTTTTTTTTGTAAAATACCTAACCCGCCATGTTAAACTTCCCTATCCTAAGCGTGATGTATATAACTTCCTTACTTCTCGAGTGATGTAAAGTATCAAAAACTCACTCGGTGATGTAAAGAAACCCATTTAAATAACATTGAGTGCTTAACTTAAAAAATATTCCTCTATGGAGCCAACGACGTTAACCGCTAGAAATCAGCTGTGCGCTTGAATGTGATTGTTATGCTTTAAAGTATTTTCCTAACCTAGCTTTTGTTTGTTTGTAAAAGAACGTACTGTTAGAAGATGAGTGAAATGGATAATGAAAAATATTGTAATAAACACATGTATATTGTCGGGTCAGGTAAAATCTTGTACGTTACACGTTACGCAAGAGCGTGTTTACATCACTTAGGTGAATTATGCAACTCGCTTCCGCTCGTTGCACAACATTCACTTGCGTGATGTAAAAACGCTCTTACTACACTTGTAATGTAAATAGCTATTTGATATTTTCCATTATGTTATATATTATTAACAATATAACAGTTTGTAGCCGTAAGCTTCTAAATACAAAAATTGGGTCAAAACTGACTAACTTCTGCATTATTCTACTCCATTTTACAACTAAAAATTGTAATATTTCAGCTATTTCTTATTCAATCTTTTTGAACTTGGTATCTTTTGATAGGGAATTAAAAATGCTAAATAAAAGTGTTCTTGGCATTTTCTCTTTAAATTAGCCGTTTTTGAGTAATTTAAGTTTAAACAATTAAAATGGCCGCCATTTTGAAATTTTAAATTGAATCAAGATGATTTTTTTTCCAACATTGGGCTCTTCTACCTTAACCTACATACCAAGTTTTATAAAGATCGGTTGAAAAAATGGAAAAATAAAAATGTTTATGTAAAAAATACAAAATGGTGGATATCTGGTTAACGAAGAGATTTTGGAAAAAAATGTTATTCTCTATTTTCTCTTTATTTTGAACCACAGAACCATTTCCCGGAGTTTGGCTGTTTACTTACGGAACATCCTGTATATATGAGAGGAACATGACTTTATTCCCATTTCTTAGCTTTTATTTGAAAGTTGCAAAAAGAGAATGATGTTTCTTACCTAAATGTAATCTTGGGGATCCAGAATTATTTTCCCTGGTAGAGGAAGAAAACGACTAAAATGATTTAATAATGATGAAGGTGGGGAACTCGAGATATTAGGCTCTCCACAATCCTTAGGGAAGCCCAAATGAACAGGTGGGATTTAGGAGCAAGATCCCTACCCACCTGGGAAATGTTTCCAGTTTTCGTGCATAAATAATGTTTCTTGGTTTCCTTAAAGCCCTGTTATAGCAAGCAAGAGATACTGATAGACAATTCTAATCGGGCTTAATACATACATGTATTAAAAAATATATATATAAGAAGGCTCGAAAGATGGGGTCAAAAAATCAAGAGTTGGTATAGAGGGACTGAAAGAATAAGAAAAAGGTGATAGATTTCAAGTTGAAGAAAATAAATAACATTGATCCTTACAAAAAGCGGAGGGACAGAAGAAATTGGGTCCCTCCCCCCTTTTAGGCGCCTCTTACGCCAAGCAGGGGTTACTGCGGTTCATTCTAATGCCGGAACCGCACGGCGAAATGCAGAATTAGGATTTTTGTGTTCATACAAATAAAATATTAGTGGATCACTGAATAATCTCCAGAATTCTTAGGGTAGACTGAACCAATGGCAAATTGACATGCCAACGCAACGCAAAACTTTCAGTAAATTGACATGCCAACGCAACGCAAAACTTTCAGTATCGTATCAGTACAGCAGGTATTTTTCAGTGGCTGCTGAGTTTTGATAAGACATGAATTAAATGGGGTCATGTACTACAGGATTTTTCTACCACCCAACTTACTTGCTTGATTTTATACTTATACAATCTGGGCTAAGGTAAATCAGATGACTTAAAATTAAATTGGCTATATATATCATCATTATTAAAATTAAATATTGGAGTTAAAATAATTTTCCTACACTCACCTTTTTATATAGATAGTAGGCTTATGAGTTAAAGCGAAAATTTGCTTTAAACTTAAGTGGCCAGGGAGTTCAGTGCTTGTCAGTGACAGTAAATTATTCTAATTTGTGACGTTTAGGGTTTCTTTGCCAGATTTGACTCTTTCCAGGTAAGTCTGCTATGTCAACAGAAAATGTTCAAAAACCTAGTTTAATTTACCTATGTGAACACACGTCACTTCAAATCGAGTAAAAAATGGCAAAAATTTCGGAAGGAATGAAGAGTTAGAAAGGAAAAATCAGTAATATTAAAAGTTAATATGTGTAATAATTTATTGTGTTATGAAAATCTTGTCCAACACATTGTGTAAGCTCTAATTGGAGATCACAGTGACAAATAGTTGGAATTTTAGTTATATCTAGTTACAAAATTCATTTAAACCAAAGAAAATAGCACCAATGTGTTTAAACCTCTATAATAATCGGAAATATTGAACAAAATTAATCGAAGAATAATAACTTTCTTGACGTACACCAAACCAATTTATATAAAAAAAACTACAAAAAACAGTGTACTTTACATGCTACTATCACACTTAATGAGCACAAAAAAGGATTGTTCCAACAGTAAAAGTATTACAAACTAAATACATGAGTGACAAAATACAAGTCTGTGTTGTAATTAATTATACGAGAAATTGTATCAGATTTAGCACCTACATGTTAAAGTATGTACTTAGATCTTAAGGCACTTCACAACACATCTTCACACAATAAAGGTAGACTACTTCTTGGTTACATGAAGACTGGCTTTAGTATCCAATAGTCAATGGTTATACCTTCTGATTTTATAATGACTTTCTGAGCTTGAACAAGGAGTAACACACTACTTATCAGATGTTCACCTTCACGCCATGCAGAAAATGGCGTTTAAATGGTTTGAATAAAAAATAATTTCCATCCCATATTTATACGTTGTTGAGTTTGGATTTAGTTTTTTGTCATACTGCAGCAAAAACTGTTTTTAATAATAAGTGTAGCTGCTCCAATGTAGTGAGTAAAAATCATATTACAAGCTTTGATTGTAAGCAGTATTATTGTAATCAAAAGTATCGAAAGTATGTATTGTTTTCAAGGGTTGTAGCTTATTGGTTCAACACATCAACATATAATGTACACTAACACAATCATAATAGCCAAAATGATTGAATCACTTACTTAAACAGGTGCTTAAATTGTAGAAAAAGGAGGATAGCAGCTAGCTTACCTTGAAAGTTTGGGTAGGCCATAGAACAGGTAGAAAAACATTTTGCACACAATATTTCGTCCCCTAAGGGACTTTGTCAAGTGTAGAGAGAGTTTATAAATGGAGTTCAATTTATAAACTCTCTCTACACTTGACAAAGTCCCTTAGGGGGCGAAATATTGTGTGCAAAATGTTTGTCTACCTGTTCTATGACCTACCCACACTTTCAAGGTAAGCTAGCTGCTATCCTCCTTTTCTACAATTTAAAATCCTGGCCTAGAGCCTTTCCTTAAACAAAATTAAACAGGTGCTTGTTTGCATTAGAAAGATTAAAAACACAAAAAAGTATTTTTGCCTTTTAACTTGGTTTGCTAAAATGGCGAAGACAAAAAATATAGTTCATCACACGCACAAAGTGTCTTTTCAACCCACACTCATTTTTTTAGATCGGCTCTAAAAGATTTACCTAACAGCTTTTCATACTTAATTACAGTATTTTTTCCAACTTGAATTACAATAATATTTACAACAATCGTAAACTACTGTTTATGGTCTATAGATTTATCCGGCAAATTAAATTTATTATTGAAATAAAAGTTTCTGGAAAATAAAATTTAATTATCATTAAAATATTTATAAACCCTTATTTTTCAGATTTTTATTAGGTTTTCATTTCCAAATCCGGTCTGTTGAAAACTACATGTAATACAAATAAAAAAAAAACAAAAAACGTCTTAATAAAGAATAACCATCATCTCTTTGTTTTATATAATCATTGGTGATATGAAAATGAATATCTGGTTTTCTTGTAAGCACTCATATGAAATTATGACACAGTGCAACTTTTAGGCTTGTACACAACACTTCTTTGTGGAAGAGTTTCTTATTTTTCATTAATAGTCAAGAAAAAATACCTTGTAAAAAATACACCATACAACAAAAAAGTACAACATACAACCCAAATCCTTAGAAGTAACTTTCTAGAAGCAACTGTATCTAAGTCCTTACAACTTAGATAATCATCCTTAAGATAAAATAAATTATCACACAAACGACTTGCGTTGGCTTAAAAAATAAATAATTATTACATTTAAGAATTGGTGAAACCTGTTTAAGTATTATATCACAGTAAACAATGGTGTGAAGAAACTTTTAAAAAAGTGACCAAATACAGATAATTTAGATTATTTTTGGGATTTAAAAAAATACCCAGACTCTTTATAAAATGAAAATGTAAGATTCAATATAAGTTCAATAGTACCTAGAAGTTTCAATAGTAGTCACAAGGAGCGAATGCGGCTCTTTTTGGTACGCAATCATGTTTTACTAGGAAATACAATTAAGTACCAAAAAGACACTTTCGTGTGATAAACAACTATTTTCATCATATTGTGGAAATGACCTTCTAATTGTTACAAAATTATACCTCATAATTTGAGATTATACAAAGTCGTCATCAATGTTTACATTCCTGTTGTTTACAGACCTAACTAAAAAATTTGTGACTAGCAGCATTTTTATAATGTACCATAGACAAATTTTGAGGTTAGCTAACCAAAAATTTACCATATATATTTTTTCTGTTCCCTTTGAAGTTATCAGAAAACAATAATTTTGCAGAAGGTTTAGACAACTAACAATGGCTGTTTTCCGGACAGTATGATGAAAATACAAATTACTCTCTATTTCACATCTGTGTTTCCTCTTATATCTTAAAACTGAACGCCTTTTCAAAGTTTCATTGGATCTTTCTTAGTATTAAATACTTACAACCTGTAACTTAATTATTAATATTATGCTAATTACATTTTTTTGACACTATCAAAACCAAAAACAAATCTCAATTTTATAACAATAGCAACTATAACTCCCTCTCATTTTGACACTGCCAGACTGGACTAATGGCCGAACTAAAACGTCTGAACCACCAGCAGTTAAAACAAAAATAAATAAATAAGTTGAGAGATGAATTGTCGTATGGTGCTTATAAATTAAATAACAAAGAAAGTATGCAATAAATCTGAAAGACCAAATAGTGCTAGATGAACGGGTGTGAAATGATTGTTTACAAGGCTACAGACAATGTGACTTATGCACATTTTGAACCATCTGAAGTCTGAACCAAATGGACCCAAACGAGAGGGAGTTTTCTGTAAATTTCAAAGTAATCATACTGCAGTACTGGTGAAATTTATTGTAGGTAACATTGAACCTAACCTTGGAATTTAAATAAACCGTAAAGGCACTCAAGAGTCAGAGTAAAATTTATAATTCCCAAAAAAGGAAAATATATCTCTTGAAAACAACTGTTTGGATAAATTGATGTGGCATACTATAGTTGCAAATACATCATGAAAATTCACATCAAGTCAAGTGGAGTAGTGCAGAGTGCCGGTTACGAAACAGTACATTGTTTGTTGCCAGCTGGAGAATTAGAGGTGATAGGGTGCCTCGTGTTGCGCTCCGACTCTGCCAATGCTCGAGCCAGCGCTGCGTCAGCCGCAAGTTGCTCCTCGGGAGTTGTGGTCCTGTTCTTCTCTCCCTCCATCATAGATAGTTGAAGAGCTTTGGCTAAAGCTTCATCTTCACTCTACAATAAAATACAACACTTTAATCATACTAATATTATAAATGTGAAAGTTTGTGTGTTTGTTTGTTTGAAGTTCAATCACGCATTAACGACTGGACGGATTGGGCTGAAATTTGGCATGATGATAGCTCATATACCTTGTTTCCCACATTGCGGAACAAACAAATTTGGATATCACAAGTTATTTCTATTTAGAAACCATATCTCTAAAAGAACTGAGCTCCTAGCAACACGTTGATGAATATGAACTTTCTTTGTTTCTTTGGCATTGTGTTTAGGCTACTTATGTCTCATGTTAGAAAAAATTAACTACAGTGGAAAACCGATAAGAAGACCCTCAATAACAAGTGGCTCTTGATAAGTGTAGTAATTGTTTTAAAATGCCCTTGATTTTATACTACCCTTTATTATATTGTCAATTACTCTAGTCAAATGAGAATAGTCAGTTTTTCGTTACATTTCAATAGCCACATTATTTACAATTTGTTTGACACATTAACAATATTAAAAACAAGTGATAATTAATCTTGACAAATAAATCATGCGTGCCTCTGAAGACACTTAATCTGGACATGTCTCTACAAGAATTTTGGGGTGCCCTTGCTCTACGTTATGGGGAAAGACCAGTAAACCTCCCAATAAAATGTGAAGGATGCGGAAATGATTTTAATACGGAGCATGCTCTGAAATGCTGCAATGGAGGTCTAATAATAAAAAGGCACAATGAAGTAGGAGACACCAATAGGTAATATGATGGAACAATATAACAAAAATTTATTTTAACATTGATTCTTTCAGATATGAAATGAAATCAACTTTATTCATACTTTGCAAACATGTGCACGAATGGCGTCATTACATTGGATCAAAATCATAATGCTTAATCCTAAAAAAGTACAAGATATAATATACCCACCAAGTTGCCCTGAACGGCTGAAGACACTCTTGAGACTGGAGCTGCCGAAGGTCGAGCAGTCAGTCTGGCAGCAGCAGCCTCTCTGGAACAGAATGGAGACTTTTTAACTAACACCTTACGCCTCGTCATAACAAATTTCTTGACATATGTTTTTTTCTCTCTTTCGTTTGTCACCTTTCTAATTTGAAGTCTATAATACTTAAATATTTTTCAATTAAATGGCGACCATACAATGTAGGTATTTTAAGCCCAGTATGAATGGAGATGAGTGTAGGATGAGTGGCTCACACTGGATAACAAAGTAATAGACAATAGACAACATCTTTATTGAAATATTCCTAGAGAAAATTCATGCGTCAGGGACATAAGGGTGAATCTCACGAAATGGTTTAATTTAAGTCCCAGCCAATATTATGTACTAACAAATAAATAATTGCCAATATAACTGTGTTTAATTACTTCCCTCAATCCCTATTTTCCATTGCATTACTATTTAAGAATAAACAATATTGAATTTATTTACTTGAAAATGTTTATTTCACGAAAATACAATTCGGTAACATGTCCTCGACTATCGTCTGCTACTTGACTTGCAAACAAAACACGCAATATGTGACGAAAATATCAATGACATTTGTCAAAATGACAGCTGAAGACAGTAAAAGAGGAAAGCAAATGCTAAAAACACCACATACCATTGATAAGGAAGTTATATTTTCAACTTTCGTGGTCCTTGGTCTGCTCCACGCCAAAAACGGCAACGAGAAAGTGCCGCCTAAATCTACGACGCGACTTTGATCGGGAACGAAACGATCACTGTTCCTTGTGCTTAAGGTGAAGGTACGTCATGTTGTTTCTTTTGTTTTAAACGTTGATTAATACCTCAAAATAAATATTTTCATGTAAGAAAAATTACGTACCTTAATTCAATAACAATACGGTAACGCAATTTTGTTGAAACTTTTAAAACTAATTCACTGTTCAAAGCTACGTTTACAACAAGTTTGCTGTTATAAACCTAACCTAAATCTCCCAAGGTCGCATAATGCCGCATTTTGTTACTACATTGTATTTAATCTGGTATTCAGCATCCGGTAACGAACATTCCGGAGAGGTAAAAGGTTACCGTTTTGTTAAAAATTGCCTAACTACGTTGCTTTTTATTAAAGAAGTTATTTTAATGTTTTATTAATAAATGAATATTTGTATTAACATCACATTACTTCTAAATGTGTTAATAACTAAATAATTTGAAAAAAAAATCATTCATTTCATTTTTTATTTGATTTAGCAAAATCGTCTTTGATTCGTTTTTGGATTCTTATCGAATTTTGGAACGAATCATGTGACATTACCGATACAGCTCAATTGATTGTTTTTATGAGGTGTTTGGACAGTAAAAAAGAACAGTTTGTGGAAGAATTGCTAACTATATTGCCAATATCAGGGCAAACACGCGGAGAGGACTTGTACAACGTTTTAATGGACTATTTTGAGAAAGCTGACTTGGATTTGATAAAAATTATATCAGTAACGACAGATAGTGCTCGTGCGATGACAGGAAAAAACAAAGGCTTGGTAAGTCGAATGAAAACAGACCCTGAATTTAATGAAAGTTTGCTAGCCTACCACTGTATTATCCATCAAAGTGTGTTGTGTTGCAAACTGAATCCTGCTCTTGAAAGTACAATGCAAACTGTAGTTAAGATCATTAACTTCATACGATCAAAGTCTTCACTTAGGCACCGTCAATTCAAATCACTTCTTGAGGAAACTGAAGCACAGTTTGACGATTTATTACTTCACAACAACGTAAGGTGGCTGAGCAAAGGATTTGTACTTCAACGGTTTTTTGCTGTTATGGAGGACATAAAAGTATTTCTTTCAGAGTGTAGTGAAGAAGTTACAAATTAACTAGGGATGGACAGGTCCCGAAATTTCGGGAATTTTTCGGGAAAAAAATATTCCCGATTATCGGGACGGGACTACATTTGACTCGGGAATTTTTCGGGACGGGATTTGGTCCGATCGTCGGCGATTTTTCCGCTTCGCAAGTGCCGATAACGCCGTTATTGCGAGCGATAGGTCCGCGAACGCAGGAGACAAAGTCATTTCGACGATTACGCCGTGACCGCGGAGTCATAACGACGATCGCGCCATGGCCGCGATTATTGGACCGACGATCGCACCGTGACCGCGAGAGTCATAACGACGATCGGGCTGTGACCGCGGAGTCATACCGACAGTTACGCCGTGACCGCGGAGTCATAACGACGATCGCGCCGAGACCGCGGAGTCCTACCGACGATCGCGCCGTTACCGCGGAGTCATACTGACGATCATGCCGTAATGGCGAGTCATACCGACGATCACGACGTGACCGCGGAGTCCTACCGACGACCGCGCCGTGACCGCGAGTCATACCGACGATCGCGCCGTGACCGCGGAGTCCTACCGACGATCGCGCCGTGACCACGGAGTCCTACCGACGATCGCGCCGTGACCGCGGAGTCATACTGACGATCATACCGTGATGGCGGAGTCATGCTGACGATCGAGCCGTGACCGCGAGTCATGCTGACGATCGCGCCGTGACCGCGAGTCATACCGACAATCGCGCCCGTGACCGCGAGTCATGACGACGATCGCACCGTGACCGTGGAGTCATACCGACGATAACCCCGTGACCGCGGAGTCATACCGACGATCGCGCCGTGACCGTGGAATCATACCGACGATAACCCCGTGACCGCGGAGTCATACCGACGATCGCACCGTGACCGCGAGAGTCATAACGACGATCGGGCTGTGACCGCGGAGTCATACCGACAGTTACGCCGTGACCGCGGAGTCATAACGACGATCGCGCCGAGACCGCGGAGTCCTACCGACGATCGCGCCGTTACCGCGGAGTCATACTGACGATCATGCCGTAATGGCGAGTCATACCGACGATCACGACGTGACCGCGGAGTCCTACCGACGATCGCGCCGTGACCGCGAGTCATGACGACGATCGCACCGTGACCGTGGAGTCATACCGACGATAACCCCGTGACCGCGGAGTCATACCGACGATCGCGCCGTGACCGTGGAGTCATACCGACGATAACCCCGTGACCGCGGAGTCATACCGACGATCGCGCCGTGACCGTGGAATCATACCGACGATAACCCCGTGACCGCGGAGTCCTACCGACGATCGCGCCGTGACCGCGAGTCATACCGACGATCGCGCCGTGACCGCGGAGTCCTACCGACGATCGCGCCGTGACCACGGAGTCCTACCGACGATCGCGCCGTGACCGCGGAGTCATACTGACGATCATACCGTGATGGCGGAGTCATGCTGACGATCGAGCCGTGACCGCGAGTCATGCTGACGATCGCGCCGTGACCGCGAGTCATACCGACAATCGCGCCCGTGACCGCGAGTCATGACGACGATCGCACCGTGACCGTGGAGTCATACCGACGATAACCCCGTGACCGCGGAGTCATACCGACGATCGCGCCGTGACCGTGGAATCATACCGACGATAACCCCGTGACCGCGGAGTCATACCGACGATCGCGCCGTGACCGCTAGTCATGACGACAATCGCGCCGTGACCACGAGTCATGACGACGATCGCGCCGTGACCGTGAGTCATACAGACGATCACCCCGTGACCCGCGAGTCACAAGTTTCTATAGGTACCTGTAAATTGTTACCCATTTTTTGGTTTTTATAGATCAGTGCCACAAATGGTAAAAATTGATTTTGTATGTCTTTTTTGGTAACTGCAATACAGTACTTTCTTTTTATGCACAGAAAAAAATCCCGTCCCGTCCCGTCCCGAAAATCGGGAAGGAAATAAAAATCCCGTCCCGTCCCGTCCCGAACTAAAAATTCAATCCCGTCCCGTCCCGAACTAAAAATTCAATCCCGTCCATCCCTAAAATTAACACTTGGGCTTTCTGCTTGATCCAGAAGACACTATTCCAAAAATAGCTTTCATGACAGATGTCTTCAGACATTTCAATTCTTTAAACTTAAAAATTCAAGGGAAAGGACTTCTTGTGTGTGAACTTCTCTCAGAAATTAGAAGCTTTACGAGAAAGGTTGTTCTTTGGTGTGAAGATATCAGTAACGAACGTGTGCACCACCGAAAACCAACGACGTGTGAAACCAACGACGTTATTGACATGAAACAGTTTGTAAACTTTTTAAACGACCTCAAATCTGAGTTCGAAGCTCGATTTAGTGACTTTGACAAAATTGGGAACGTGGTTCAAGTCCTAAATAACTGTTTTTCTCTAAAGCCTAATGGAGAGTGGACCAATGAAGCAGCAGTAGTTTTGAATTGTAATAAAGCAGCCCTGCAAATGGAAATAATAGATTTTTAGGAAGACATTGCTCTGAAGGACAAATTTAGACAAGTCCTGAAAGAACTTTCGTGTACAGACTCAGATGGTGTTGTGGGAGGGAAAAATTGGCGGCATGTCGTGTGTTATGCTGATGTATGTCTCTGTGTCTTGGATGGGCTGTTTTAGTGGTGTGGATAATGACTTCTCTTATGTAGAGTGAAATTGATGTGAGGATTTTAAGGTTCTTGGAGGCTTCTCGGCAACTGTCTCTGTAGTTTAGGTCGGCAAGGCATCTAATTGCTCTTTTTTGATTTAGGAAATACACTCTTGTATTTTGTACTCTTTCCAGGTTGCCTTTTGATGTTCCACCCCAAGTCGCAATGCCATATCTGAGGTGGGACTCGAATAGAGCAAAATATGCAGCTTTGGCTACTTCTGGGCTGCAAGCTTGCTTGGTCCTACGTATAACGAAGAGACTTGAACTTAGCTTGAGTAAGAGGGAGATACAATGTGTGGAAATGTTAGTTTTGATCAAAAGTAAGGTTGTAAAGACCATAGATTAGGCAAATAGAAGAATGAGAGGCATGGTTTCTCTGTCAGTACCAGCACCAGTATTTATTTATTTATTTTGTATTGTAATCGAAACAATATTTTGTATTGTATATGATGTCAAGACAAATCACGGTCCTGGAGAGAAAATGTTGTTTTTAGTGTTTCTGTACTACATGATAAAGTGAACGATGACCAAGAAATTCATTATACTGAAGTTATCAATTTCAGATTGCTAAGAAACTAAAAGAATGTTATAAATCATCCTCCTCATCAGTTTTGGCAAAACAAATTACGAGGGAGAGAATATAGGTTTTTGTTTTTGACACTATAGATTTTTTTTAAGCACCAGTATTTCTTTTTCTCCACTAATTTGAGTTCATATTTGGAAATAATACATAGGCTATTTATTTTTCTCATCTTTGTTAAAACAAATAAGTATTTTAAGACATAAAATAAAAAGACACTAACACTATTCTCTTCTCACAAGTATAATTTAGCACAACTGCTCTTATCTCTGAACAAGTTGATAGACTAGTATGCTTGCACATATCCTACTCACGCTGCTTTGTTGCGAGCGGCCGCTTGACGTCCCTGACAGTTGTGGTCAGCCGTATGGCGATGTCGCAAGCAGAAGTTGAGACTGCACTCGTTACATACAACTCTGACAACCTCCTTGCCTTTGCATCCCTTCTTCGAGCATTTGTTGGTGAAGACCTTCCAAATCATAAGTTTTAATAATTTATTCATATGAATTACCTTCTGCATTTTAAAACAGTGAGGATTATGTTACATTTTATCTCATAAATTCTTATAGTTTTCAGGCTTTTGTCTCAACACCAAATCTTCCATCCTCTTTATTGAACGTTTGTCATTATCATAAATCAAATAACCAAATGTTAATATACTTGGTTATTTGATTAATACTTTAATACTTTTCTTTGAAACGGCGACCATACAAAGTAGGTATTTTAAGCCAAGTATGAATGGAGATGAGTGTATGATGAGTGGCACGATCTTGTAGTCTTGTTAGGGACTAAGGCCGACATATTCCTTAGACACAGCTGTTAATTAATGCCCATACAGCTATAATGGCGACTAATGGCTTCCATTAGCTGTATGGGCTATTAATTAACAGCATTGTCTAAGGAATATGTCAGCCTTAGTCACTAACAAGACTACAAGATCGCGCCACTCATCCTACACTCCTCCTTTAATACTTTTCAATGAAATGGCGACCATACAAAGTAGATATTTTAAGCCAAGTATGAATGGAGATACTTGGCTTAAAATATCTACTTTGTATGGTCACCATTTCATTGAAAAGTATTAAAGATTGGTTAAGATAGGTTAGGTTAGGACAGGTTAGGTTAGGTTACATTCCATCCTCCGTCTGATTATCCTCCGCGTTGGCACAATCCCGGTGCGTGCCACGCTGACCCTTTTTAACACACATAACTGGCGCATTCCGGGTTTACCCTATCACGCATCTAGCCAACAAATAAGTAGGGCCTATTAAAAACATACTGTATCTATGGACCATAATTTAACAGCAACACCATAATTTAGATACAATATTGTATTCACCTTGCGTTTATTCTTGGCTGGATCGGACTGACAGTCAGTGTCAATGTGAGCGCCCACTGCTATGTCTGGAGGCTCTCCCCTACGCACAGGTATGGGAGTGTTGCACAATGGACACACGGGTACTTGTACATCCTTTTTGTACGCTGAACTGCAACTGTGAGCAGCATAACGCATGTGCTCGTGGCTGTGAAAACAAATTAAGTTAGCAACAAACTAACTTTAGATGAGATCTTGTGGTGTATATAGTAAACCGGAACAAATTAAAGACCGTCCTGTGTTCATAATAGACTTAAAACATCAACACCATTCTAGACTGAAATTTAAATACTTTCCATTCCTCTACTGTTGGGACCATTGGACTGTGTTATGGCGTGGGAGGAGAGGGGGGTTGATATTACTGGTTATATCCAGTTGGTAGGGGGTCTGAGCTACGCGCACAGACTAATGGTCCAACTGTAATTTAAGTCTGGAAAATTCCCCCGAAAACCAAGTACCTTTCATTAAAGTGAGTCGCTAAGACGGTTTGTGAAACTAAGGCAGTGATAAAACTAAGGCAGTAATATCATGGGGTCGAGTTTAAGTGGTGTCACTTAAAATTATTCAATCAAGTTAGTGACATTGTTGATAGGCTTTGCGTACTAAGGTAAATTCTTTTTACTGTACTGACTCATTACTTGCTTTTCTTGATATGCTCCATGCACAGGCTTTTGAGGCCCATGTGGACAAGAAACTGCAAAGTTAAGAGGACGACAGTAAATTAAAAATGTATTGTATATGTAATTGATTTAATAATCCCTCTAATTAAACATGAGCCAAGCAAAGCCTATCAACAATGTCACTAAATTAAGCTTGTTAGAACATAAAAGTGAAATGTAGCTTTTTTTTCAAATTCTTTGCCTGTAAAACTATGTAGCCTACACTTGAGTCCCACTAGTCCAAACACAGGTAGGCCTAATCCGAACGTCCACTTAATCCAAACATGTTCCAGGCATTTTTGTTAATAATTTGCACAAATGTTAAAATCTGTTTTTCAAATATAGGTCTAACCTTAACATTTCATTCCCATGAATGACAAAAACATCCTCGAAAAAAAAAATAACATAGGCTATTAAAAAATTTGCAGAGTCATAGGTGTCCCTCAAACTATCCCCTGATATTGTATTTTGCAGACTTACCAGAATATTTCTTCACAAGCATCACACTTAACTGGGAGAAAGTCTGAAACATCAGTGTTTAAATGATAAGTTGTTGTAAACATGTAACGTAGGATTTTTTTATTTAAAGTTAAATAAGCCTAGGCCTAACTTACTACCGGTAACTTAAAAAAAATCCCTCCTTTTTTAAGACTTGAAAACAAAAGCCAAGAGTATAGCTTGGGGCGTCAATTTGTTTAATATTACTTGCGAGTACTATTGCTTATAGAGGCACTTGTCACGTTTGGCTGACGGTTGCATGATACTGCATCGTTGAAGTCTTTCTACATGCACGGGTTCAAATCCCGTACATGTGCAATCCATACGAAGCTCAATACCGTACCTATTGTTGTGGCTTAGTTGGCGGGATAGGCCCACCTTCAATAAACGGTGTCTGGGTGGAAGTTGACGGCATTATTAAATTAATATCTAGATATTACACAAAACACTTGTAACATTAGTAAGTTATAGAGGAGAGCACAGATTTGTTATGCTTTTATTTTAGTTAAATATGGACGTAGGTTTACTGTGTTACAATAAAATGTACCAAAAGCCACCATCATAAGTTTCTCTTGTCATATACCGTAATAATTTATATTATCTAGTCTAAATCTTCTTATTAAATTATCTTCTTGATTTTGGTTTTGGTTGGAATCATATGGTTAATATCAAAGATTAAAACCGAACCCTATTGTTAAATACTTATTATTTCATATTTTAGATTCATTAATGATTTTAAAAATGACATTGTGTCAATGTACCAAAAAGCTACAGTGAAATTCTCCCTTCTATCCTAATGCTGACAGTTGAATGTGCCAAAACCTGACAGACTTAAATTGGTGTTTTAAGCTAAGAAACTTGTACATTATGGGGCAAAAGGTGAAGTCAGATTGGTTTTATGGGAAAAAGGGCATTTTACTAGATCAACTAAGTTTACGAAAAATACTTACAGACGTTTTGTCTAGTCGTTTCGGTTCAACAACAAGATGTTGGACACTGTCTAGCAGCTGCTCTTTGGTTATTGGGAAGCCAGTTTTTGTTGATGTAAAACCCCAGGTTACTTTAACATTTTCTTTATCCGTAATTAAGATAGTTTTATGCCAATTCATTTTTTCAAATATGATTTAGGCCTACATTAGTTTGCTAACGAGAGTTGGTCTTGGAACATTGTTTATCTGCCTGGGTATGAGATAAGTTAGCCCGCTTTTTTTCAAATGTTGACACACAAGGACCTTCTCTACAGGAACGCTCCCACGACCGTGCCGTGCCGAATGCTTCCAAATCTTACCGAGCATAGCCGAACTGTTTGCGGCAAGTTTGTCATTATATGTTAGTAAGGGATAAATTAATTTATTAATAAAAATAAACATGTCTGCCTTAATAAATAAAATTGCCAATGACACAGAAAAATATACACATAAAATATTGAATATTATAACAGCTATAAGACTGATTATTTTGATGTTTTCCATGTAAATGATTACTCATTATAGTCAATGGACATGCAGCTACGGCAAGATGGCGGGTCCATTGAATAATGTCAGTGGCGTACCGTGGGGGGGCGGGGGGGGCGGCCCGCCCCAGGCCTCACACTAGCATAGGCCCCCAAATGGTAGACCTTATTTTTTTTTAGATACAAAAATAATAAAAAAAAATTTAAAAATCAGAGAAAATCTCTAAATTAAATTATTTTTAAAATACTATTTTCAATCATGATTTATATTTATTTTACATAGTTATTTAAAACTGAGCTAAAACAAACAGAAATGCCATTGTGTGTGCAGTGTGCACGATACACGCCGTTATAAGCAATGTACGACAGTGTCCGCCGTCCACCACCATAACTCTGTTACTCTGTAGTCTGTTGTCGTGGGGCTGTGTGGCCTTGGACAATGCTTCCACCCCTGCGGCCAACGCTGTTAGAAACATAGACTCGCCCGCTTTGTCCGTTTGGCGAATTTGAATTGCCCGACGAGCTTAGAATTTAAAGGTTGTAAGTCACTGTGTAGTGTGTTGGTGTTAAAGTAGTGGTCAGTTACTAGTTAAGCGTTTAATGTGGTTTATTTTTAACGTATACTTTAATGACATGTTGATATTTGTATTTACGATTCTGTGATAGTGCTATTTCGTCATCAAGCATTAGCATTGAAGCATTTAGAATAGGCATAGGCCTACAAGCTCCTTGTATGTTACGACTTCTCTTTGTCATCAAATTACGTTTTTGGTAAGTTATTTAGTTTATATCAAACTTAATCGTATGAAGTTGGATTATTTAGATTATTTCAAATTATTTGGTTTTGATGCAAGTATTGGTATACAGTATAGGTTGTTTTAGCTATTAGTAGGCCTATCTTAAAAATATATGGAACAGTATTTTATCTGATAACAAATTAGGCCTATTTAATTGGTAGGGTTGTTTTAAGTTTTATTGATATAATTTGAGTTGTAAGGTTGTAGGCCTAATTAGTTTCCCTTTCTCTTTTAGCTTTGTAATGTGAATGTGTGGCTAAGCTGGTATTGAGGGACCATCTTAAATGAACAGTGTCCAAATTGGGTGGAAGTAGACACTAGACGGCACTTTTCAGTTTGATAGGGATTGCACAATGTTTTGTTTTTCTTCTTTTTTCATTATTATTGTAGAGGTGAGGTAGAGGAAGACACATATTATTTATTTTTATTTTGGTTAAATAAAAACATGTGTTGAAATTAATGTATGATATTGATAACATACATAATACAGTAGTACATAACAGTAACCTAAATAAATAAATAGCAGTAACAGAGAAATATATAAAAAAGGCTTAGAGGTAAAAGCTTAAAGTGTTAAGTTTGAGTTTGCCTTTTGATTTTAAAGATGGAGCGGAGGTAAAACTATTATTTTTTTTTAGACTCATGATAAAATGAAACGAAACTATCAAAGTGGATGGGATAAGAAGAAAAAACAAAAAGCTAAAGAACAAGAAATTCAACGTCTGTCAGGCTCAATTTTGAAATTTACTCAAAGGGTATCACTTCCAGCAAACAATGAAGCGGAGCTTGATGTGCCCAAATCTTTAGAAAGTACAAGTACAAGCTATGACCAACGACCAGGATATGAAGAAGAAGTAAAAGGAGTTCAGGGGATTGAAGACGACAAGGAATATGAAAAACGAGGGAATGAGGAATTCATGGAAGATGAAGGAGGGAATGGGGAAGACAAGGACGATAAAGAATTAGAGAATGTGGAAGACGAGGAATATGAAGAAGACACATCTACTTTGCAAAGTTATGACCCAGAGTTGCATCCACCAGAAGAACCAGAGGAGTTATCACTAGATTTTGATGTTGGAAATTGGCCTACTCCTGTGCCAGATAGCATTAGGACAGATATAATAAGGCGGGGGAGTGAAATGTATCAACACATAGAAGGGCCGTTCGCAGCTGTAGAGAAGCCTGGGGAAAGTTCCAAAGGTCACACACGACAGTTAAGCAGTAATTGGTTCTACATACGGCTTCCCAGTGGAGAAAAGATTTTAAGAAAATGGATGGTTTATTCTCCTGAAAAGAAATGCTTGTTTTGTTTCTGTTGCAAGCTCTTTGATAACAATCCAAAGAAACCCTTGGCATCCAGTTTCATCACAGGATTCAACAGTTGGTGGAAATTAAATCCTAAAGTGTCTGATCACGAAAGCTCTGAATTACATGTTAACAACTTTGAAAAATGGAAAACTCTTCAAGCAAGCCTTTTCCTTAACAAAACGATCGATGCTGCTCACCAGGAAGTCATGGAAACAGAGAGGAAGAAATGGAGGGACATTTTGCATAGGCTCTTAGACATCACACTTTTTTTGGCTACACAGAATTTGCCTTTTAGAGGTCACAGAGAAGGCGTTGACTCTGAAAACCGTGGCAATTTCTTAGAACTGGTTGAACTTCTTTCACATTACGACCCTGTTTTAAAGGAGCACAACATACGACTTCAGCAATCGTTGCAAGCAGGAAAAATTCCAGTTTCTTACCTATCGCCTGCTGTACAAAATGAGTTTATTTCTCTCATGGGAAACGCCGTCAAAAAAGAAATTATCTCCGAAATCAAAAAAGCTAAGTATTATGGAATACTGTTTGATAGCACGCCTGACATAGCTCACATGGAACAGATGAGTGAAGTTATAAGATATGTGAAAATTGACAACCGGGAAGTAGAGGTGAAAGAGTCATTTCTAGGTTTTATTCAGCTTGGTGGAAAAAAGGCACATGATATTACTGAAGCCATAATCCAATCACTTGAAAAGGACGGTTTGGATCTACAACTTTGTAGGAGCCAAGGTTATGACAATGCTACAACGATGTCAGGTATCCACACAGGAGTACAAACAAGAATTAAAGATCAAAATCCAAAAGCGATTTTCGTACCTTGTGCAAACCATTCCCTCAATCTATGTGGCGTTCATGCTTTTGGAAGTGTTTCAGTTTGTGTCACATTTTTTGGAACCTTAGAAAGTGTTTACAACACGTTTTCATGTTCTACACATCGATGGGAGATACTTAAAGAAACCGTAGGCGTGACAGTGAAGAGACTTTGTGAGACTAGATGGAGTGCGCATCACGATGCGGTAAAACCAATCCTCCAAAACTTTAAAAAGCTGGTTGATGCTGTGGAGAAACTACGCGATCCTTCAGAAAATTTAGATACAAGGGGAGCAGAGGAATTGCTGATGACCAACATTTGTAATTTTAATTTTCTTTCTTTTTTGCACTTATGGTACCACATTTTGGTAGAGGTAAACCATGCACAAAAGTACCTTCAAATCAAAGGTATTAGCTTGGAAAAGTGTTTGCTGAAGCTTAAAACGTTGAAAACATTTTTAGAAGAGAGTAGGGAAGAGCTGACAGATAAAGCTTTAGAATATGGAACAAAAACTTGTGCGGAAATGGACATCGACTTGGAACGGAGACAACGCAAACGAGTAAAAAAAATGATGCCAGGAGAAACTGCTCAAGATGCAGGTTTGACCCCACAACAAGAGTTGAAACGCTCTATGTTAG